CGCGTCCATGCCCTTCGAATTCCACCGCACAAGGCGAGCCTTGCGGCGTGCACACGTTTCTTAGGCACCAAAAGCATACCGCAAGGGCTGCTGCAATCTTCGCTGTCGTCTTCCTGCCGTTAGTTACGCTTCCAATCTGAAGCGCCGTGAACAGGAGGCCACGCGCCCACCCACCCGCCGCCGCCACCTCGGACGTGGCGCTGCGGGCGCGGGCTGAGGCAGACGGCCTGGGCTGCAAGCACAACGTCAGTGGCCCCCGCGCGTTTTCTCGCACCCACACCTCACAGCTACACCAGGCTTCCCCAGAAGCAGCATAGGGAGCACGGTGGTAAGAGCAGGGGACGGGCTTCGGGCCGGCGAGTCTGCTGGCCTGAGTCCTCCAGCGGCCAGGCCAAGTCCCGTGGAAAGACCGTGACGGGGCCAAGCTTGTCTTCTGCCGCACCCGAAACGTTTCGACCTCTTCCTCTTTTCCCACACGCAAGGGCTCCAACGATCGCTCTTGTCAAGGAAGACAGCCCCGTACCTAGACAACACACCTCAAAGTGGTGGAGGCTTCCCAAGTCGAACTCCCAAAAACATGACCTCACACCGAGAGAGGACTGAGCAAAGACAGCGGGGGGGCCTCTGGCTGCAGGAGATGCCTGGCTGCCGTGGCATGGACACGCAGCAGCGGTGGAGTGCAGGCCACAGTCTTCGCAGCCACGGGTACAGACATGGGAATGCCTGCTGTCCTACCCGGCAGTTCTGGCGTAGGGGCACGGAAGAATCCAGCATCGAGCCCGTCCACTGCAAGCCCTGCCCTGTTTTGCCTACACTCACAGTAAAACAAATACTTCCAGGGTTTTCACTGCTGGTCGTGTATTAGCTGACAAAGGCACACGAGGAGTTTTTATTCTTACTGTCGAATGCAAAGATGGTCTCAAACTACTGAACACAGTCTTCAACTGTAATTGGTTTTCAGTCACTTATGGTGATTCTTTTAACTCTAAATGAATACTAAAAAACTAGTTGGCTATAAGCGATTCAAAAACAGAAAAAAAATTTTACTCCATAAAGTGCATGCACAAAATGTTAAATGCACACATACAGATCTTTTAATGGCAGAGTGGCAACAACCTGAGATTCTTTTTTTTAATGTCAAAACAGATTTCAGTAATTTTTGGAAAAACCAATACTTTTCCCTTAGAAGTTGATCTTGGCAACTTCCTTTTTAAATAACAGCAGCAGCAACATTTTATAACTATTCATAAAACTTGCTTGGCATAACAAGTTTATCCAGAAAGAATGGTCCAGAAATGTCAAGACAGAACTTTTTATAAAAATAGGATAGTTCACTAATTTTGACCTAAAACTGACACTAAAACACCCCTCTTCCAAACTAAAAATGTCATTTATGCCTCCTACTTATAGTAAATAAAATCCAAAAAATTATAAGATTTGAAATGGAAAACCAGAAACATATCAACATCATTCTCTCCCAATAATATAGCAGGATTAATTTCAATAGGTTTCCCAAAAAGGAGAAAAAAATGTAAGTTTAGCCACAGCAGTGGTAAATGAATTTGGGCTTAAAATGTAATCATGCAATTTAACATTTAACCATGTGTGTGTTTAAATGTCAGATGGGTAACAAGCTGACACCGTAACAAGGTTTGAGAGAGACACATCTCATACATGCACATGAACACCCAGACACAACCAATTTCAGTTGATGCACTTATTTTTAGTTGGTACTGTAAGAAATGCCCAGGATTCCTGATTAAAGTCTGTGTTTTTCTAAGGCAAGGCAAGTCTGACAATGTGTAAAGCATAGATATCAGCATGGCTATAAAGGCAATATGACCAACGTACATATTCACTTTTTTGAAGTGATACATTCCAAGCTACATAGGATTTAATTTCATGTCCTATTCTAAGATTACATGTTCTGCATTAACCTTAGAAGCATAATTGCTGCAATACGTTAAAAAAATACTTTGTTTTTCCAATATTGTGAAGTATACTATATTTTCAAATAGCTAGTATGAATTTGCACAAAATTTTAAAAGACATACTATTAGCTAACTATAACTACTGTGTTAAGTAATCCTACGACAGAAGAATTCGCAAGGAGAGCAAAATATAAAAGCAAGCATAATAATTATTGCATTTAATTAAAAAAATCAAGTAGATCTGAATACACTTGTTTCCTGTCTTAGTAATATGTATATTCATTTTACAGCTACTTGTCTGATAAATCTACTAGGATTGAGTGAGATTTGTTTTTCTTGGTTATTTTTCTTCTCTGTATCTTTCCACAACAGTTGGAATTTTCTTTGGGGTACAAAGTAAATTAATATTTATGCTATTTCTTACTTGTGTCTTGTAAAAACTGACTCCTTTCATTTTAAAAAGTTGTATTTCATTTTGGGGGCCTTATTAAAATTTAATTTTTTTTTTTTTTTGAGTTGGAGTCTCACTCTGTCGCCCAGACTGGAGTGCAGTGGCCACTCTCGGCCACCACAGCCTCGACCTGCTGGGCTGCGGCGATCCTTCCGCCTCAGTCTTCCAAGTAGCTGGAACTACAGGCGCACGCTACCACGCCCGGCTAATTTTTTGATTTATTGTAGAGATGAGGTCTTGCTGCCCAGGCGGGTCTCGAACCTGCGGGCTCAGGCAATCCACTCATCTCAGTCTCCCAAAGGCGCGGGATTACAGGCTGAGCCACCGAGCCCAGCACTAAAATTTAATATTTAACCGTGTGTGTGTTTTTAAATGTCAGTTGGGTAACGTGCCGACATCATAACAAGATTTGAGAGAGGCCCATCTCATATGTGGGCATGAACGCCCAGACATCATGCCTACAAACTACAAAAGGATCTTAATGTGTGGCTTTGCTATATAGTCTACATGTCAACAAACTGAAAAGGGCTAACAAAACTTGATTTCATCTGTTTTAAGTAGGACTATGCAATTTTTTTCTTTTTTAACGCGAAAAAGGACATGAAGAAAACCATCCGCATAGGCCCTCTTCACGCTCCACTGCTGGGAGACACAGCTTTCAGTAAGGGTGGAAGAAGTCAAGTAAGTTGGTATCTCTTTGCATAGAGGAGAGAAAATAAAATAAGGTTACTTCCTTCCTAGGGTCTCAGCTAGTTTCTTAAGTCTTTTCTTCAGCTCCAGTGGAAATTTCTCATAGCACTTCTTACAGACCGGCTTCATGTCAAACTCCACAAATTTATTCCTAAAGATAATAATTAGAAGTTAGTGGAAATGTATTCAACAAGGACATATAAATAATGTTAATTTTATTGAACTAAATTAAGACACTATATGATGGTGTCTATATTCACGCTGGTGAAGAACTGTAATTCTAATCTTAATTCTTATTGTGATTACTAAAAAATTCACAATATCATTTGAAAAAAAAGTCCTTATAAAATGGTCCTATGCATCTATGTAACACAGACTGTATATTACATTTTATTCAGTGCTAAGTAAACAGGAAATCTAATGTAAATATAATTTAGGTAAGTAAAGTCAGTCATACTTTAAAGAACCAAGAAAACACCTTAATGAATAAATTTATTAAAAGCAAAGAATTGTGTTTTTGTGACGTGAATGATCTCTTTATTAGAGGCAAAATGATCTTAGTATTTCAAATTAGATAGTTAGGGGGTTTCAACTTTCCTGCATAAAATGGCTTTCCTCCTAGCCCCAACAACAACAACAAATCACCTTAAATCTTTTCTAAAATATCATCTTAAGGCTCAATGGCTTCTTTTGATTATCTGACAAAAAGGCAGGTAAGGAGCTGGGCTCGGTGGCTCAGCCTGTAATCCTGCGCTTTGGGAGGCTGAGGTGAGTGGATGGACTGAGCCCGCGGGTTCGAGACCCGCCTGGGCAGCGAGACCTCATCTCTACAATAAATAAATTTTTTAAAAAATCAGCCGGGTGTGGTAGCGTGTGCCTGGAGTTCCAGCGACTTGGAAGGCTGAGGCGGAAGGCTCGCCGGAGACCAGCAGGTCGAGGATGCGGTGGCCGGGAGCGGCCACTGCACTCCAGTCTGGGCGACCAAGTGAGACTCCAACTCAAAAAAAAAAAAAAAAGGCAGGTAAGGGAGAGATAAGCAAGTTTTTAATTACTCTTAAAGTCCACACATGTAACCAGACTGCTTGTGGTATATTACATGGTAGCTGTTTGGAGAACTCAAGTATTCTTTTTAAAGCTAAAGCAATATACGTTATCAATTTACTTGTAAAACAGTACTGGAGAAGATAACTTTTGAGGGGGGGAGTTGGAGTCTTACTCTATTGCCCAGGCTGGAGTGCAAGGGCATGCACGCTCATAGCCACCCCAGCGTCGACCTGCTAGCCTCAAGTGATCCTCCTGCCTCAGCCTTCCAAGTAGCCGAAACTACAGGTGCGCATGACCTCGCCCGGCTAATTTTTGATTTATTGTAGAGACGAGGTCTCGCCAAGTTGCCCGGGCTGGCCTCGAGTCCGCAGTCTCGGGCAATCCACTGGCCTCGGCCTCCCAAAGTGCTGGGATTGCAGGCCGAGCCACCCAGGCCGACCGACAAGTTTTCAAATGGCCTCCTGATCAACTATACCATTTCCAACAGGTAATGACTCAATCCTGAATGGAGTAAATCCGCAACCTGGTAACTTGTTCATCTTCCATGAAATTATATTTAGGAAGCACTTGTGGAGCAAATCCACATGGTAGATTGCTATCTGTGACAAAAATCACAAAATCTGACAATATAATTTTAAACGCATTTAAAAAGTATTAGACTTGCTTCAAAGTTCCATTTTCTACGCCTGAATTTTTATTACAGAAAAAAGCTTCATTTCTTTACGTTGCTTTCTAACTCTGTGCTTGTGCCTTTCTCGACGGTTTTCTGCTCCTCCAGAAAAGCACGCTCGATCCCGTCACACACAGATTTTGCACACACGGAACCGCCACGGGCCCTGCTGATAGGATTTCTGTTCTGGACAACCTCGCAAGAACGTTAGTCTCACAGCACGAACCCCTCGCGGTCGCCCAGGCACACGCCACACGCAGACTCTGGTGCTTTCCCAACCTTCTTGGGATACAGGTAGACTGTCCTTCTACCAGGGGTTCGAGACAGGCTAATTTGGTTAGAGGCGGCACTGCAGGAAAGCCTATGCCGGCATGCCCAACGCTGGACCCTTCTGAGCGCCTTTGCACAGCGTCCCCAGAAGAGCTCGAAGTTATTGCGAAGGACAAGTAAACAACAAGTTAATTCCTAACCGGGCACACAAGATGAAAAAATCTATTTTAAAACATCGCACTGGGAATTCTTTTATAGTTGTTTTCCACAGAGACCCTAATGCTGACAACACTTCAAATGTAACATTTCCACGGGCAAATCCGATGCTTCAAGGGGGAAGTCTGGCTGAAATAGCATGATGAATTGCACCCAAGCTATTTTTAATAGCTTCAGAACAAAGCAATTAAAAATGCCATTTTTTGGTGAAAGAAAAATATTGTTTTCAGAGAGACTGCTTATCAAGGCTTTCACTTTCAATGTTATATTTGCATTTGATTCCCTCTTTACAGAAGGAAATATGAAAACCAAACAAAAAAATATTTTACAGCTTTAACCACAATGGTAGCCATGAGGGAAGATGGAACAAGCATGCTAGTGACACAACAGAAGTTCAAAGACTGAGTTGCCTACCATAAAAATCAAGAATAAGAGAATCTGAAGACACCAAGGAAGTCAACTACAGACAGAAGCATGTGGGCATCGTGTCAAAGCACACAAACAGAGAGGAGTGACATCTCACGTAAAGCATATGGACTTGCTTGGAAAATGAACCATGCAGAAAGAATTTAATAGGAAACTCAGAATACATGCATTTTAAAAAACGTCAAATGACTCAGAACTTATCAATCAAATGATTGAGGCAAAGAAACTAAAGACCAGGATTTTAAATTTCCCAATGTCTATTAAGAAAATGGAATTATTCTCCTTGAATCCTTTAAAAATAAAAAAAGGAATAACATATGTATGCCATATTGTTTTGTTTTGTCTTAAAAAAGGTGCATCTACGAATCAAGTGAAATGCGTGAGCACAGCCTCGTGTTGGTACGGACCGGCTCTGCACAGCACAAACGCTTGCACTTCAGTCCCGATGACCACAAGCAGCGCCAGAGGGGGAAGCCAAAGGCAGAGCGAACGACACATCCCAGAGCACGAACCGAAGAGGAAAGCAGGGACGATGACGACAGAAGGGACAGAAAAGGTCACAGACAGACGGGCTTTTTCTTTCTCTGCTTGTCCTTATCCTTCGCTTCTCTCTCCCGTTTGGCAAGTCGCCTCTTAAATTCTTCTGGCATTTTCTCATAACAGTGTTTGCAGACTGGCTTTAGATCAATTTCAACAAATTTATCCCTTTGAGCAAGACAAAAAAGGAATAGAAGAAAGAACAGGGAACAATTAAAGGAAGAACCTTTTCTTTCAGAAGGCCTGAGCAGAAAGAAGAAATTAAGTCATTCTTTTTTAAATGCTGGGGATTTTTTTTTAATGCCACCCCAAAGTTTTCAGTTTTAGGATTCACACTGTACCAAAATGTAGACTTACTTGAGTGTTAATTTAGTGTTGCAGGTAGAGCAGGCAAAGCAGTTCACGCACCAGGCCTTATTAAGAGCAGAGACCACTATAACAAGAGGAGAGAAACCCGGTCACACAAAAACAGGATGTTCTGGGAAGCAGGGCAGCCACAATTTTCAACTCAAATAGAACTAAGGCCACTTCCATGGCACTTGCGAAAGTATCACACAGTTGAAAAGCTCAGGGCCATTAGGTAGTAAAGTGTACTAAATAAACCAATTTTATTAAGTTTTTTTCACATAATCACTATTATTTTTTGAGTTGGAGCCCAGGCTGGTCTCAAAGTCCTGGCTCAATCGATCCTCCTTCCTTAGCCTCCCAATGTGCCGATAACAGGCATGAGCCCCAGTGCCAGGTCCTCTCCCTAGTATCTGTGATCTGCCGTTGGCTGGATCTACACATGTGGAACCCTTGGAGATGGAGGGCTGACTTAAGTATGTGAGGAGGTACCACGTCCCATGCCAGTGATGAGGCCCCTCGGCCTGCAGACGCACACACAGCCACGTGGTCACGCAGTGATGGGCACACGTGGTGTCGCTCAGGGGAGCTTTCCTGGCACAGTGCTGGCTTACTCACACGCTCTCTGCTGTTTCTCTCCCTACTCCCACTGGCCCAGCAAAAAACACAAGCTAGAGCAACAACTTCTCACATTCCAGACATTAGCTTAACTTCCAAAGGTGACCATAAGAAAACCTCTTCCTCTGGCAGCTTCTTTCACCTAGCAACCTGTGTCACACAAGAGGGAGCTGAGTTCTGTTTTCAAGCACTGAAGATTGTTTTCCAAACGAACCTTTTTGCAAACTGCCGCATGAGTGGTGTTTCAGAAAGTCTTTCCTGAATATAGTGGTATCTGCCGAGAACCATGAATCATGCTGGCAACAGAACTGTTTAAAACTTTGCCAGGAAGTCTCTAGCAGAACTGTGCTAGTGACTATTAGCAAACACAGCTGCTTCCTTTCTGTTTCAGTCAATCAGCCCAGGCTAATTGCCGCAGTACAGGGAGACAAATCCTGGATATGCCTGCCAATAACTGCCAGGCTTCAGCATGTGCGGGCTGAAGGGTCTCTTCCTAACCACCACAGGCAATTAAATGGTTCCTAATCAACACTGCTTTAGGGCTTCGAGGAACTGGAAACACAAACAGGTCTGAGTAGGCCAGGTGGTTCCCAGGACTGTTGGCATACCAACACTGCAGCAGTGGCCTAAAGTGCTGTCATGAACGGGCAACGGAGCCAGCCCCTAGATGCTACCAGCTCACTGCTGCAGATGACTCAGGAGACATGTCAAGGAAAAAGTGCCTGCAACAATCACGTTCCAAGCAGCAGTAATCACCACACTCTTTTAATCTGCACGTCACCCAAGTGGTTTTGTGTCAAAATGGTGCCACATGAAATTTGTGCACTCACCGTCACCTTCTATAACACGGTTGCAGTGGAAACAAACATCACCAAATAGCTGAAAATGAAAAAAGGGGTAAAACTTCAAAATGCATGACAATTAAGTTTTAGAACACTGAATATTTAATTTCAGTTCTTCCTAGCACTTAAAAACAAATAATATAAATCGAGACTTTACCAGTTCTGGAGAAAACCAGTAAAAGTTCACTGACCAGTTTCTCTTCTCACAATAACAATAACTTCCTCTTTTTTAAAATTTTGAGTTGGAGTCTCACTCCGTCACCCAGACTGGAATGCAGTGGCACACTTCTGGTCACCACAGCCTTGATCTGCTGGGCTCTGGTGATCCTTCTGCCTCAGCCTTCCAAGTAGCTGACACTACAGGTGCATGCCTCCACACTCGGCTCATTTTTTGATTTATTGTAGAGATGAGGTCTCACCAAGTTGCCCAGGTGGGTCTCGAACTCCGGCAATCCACTCACCTCAGCCTCCCAAGGCACGGGATTACAGGCTGAGCCACTGAGCCCGGACAATAACTTTCTTTGCAACACTTAAAAATTCTTTCCTAGATCACATCTGAGTCCCAAATAATTAGGTAATGAAGCCGGGCTCAGTGGCTCAGCCTGTAATCCCGTGCTTTGGGAGGCTGAGGTGAGTGGA